AAAAAAATATTTAAAAAGAATATAAAAAAAATCGAGACTAATAAAATTTTTAACTCCATCCATGAAAATAAATAAAGCCATAATATAAAATTACAACCTGCATTTGATTTGTAAATTGACAAAATTGCACCACATTTAATTCTCTAAATACATACATTATTCTATAAAACATTATCTTATGCTATCACAATTTTGTCAGTGCAAATAGAAACTTACTTTGTATATCCTTAGGACTTCAAGTTGAGACATTCCAAGCCATTATGATTTAACCGCAAAAAAACTCTGTGGCACTTAAAAGGTTAATAATAATATAATCTCTTTTAAAAATTAATATCTAGCAGTGGGATGTAATAAAAAAAATAGTAAAAACAACACCAATTATAATCTATACTTCGTTGCATTTATTTTTAAATCAATAAGTAACAGTAAACAATAAATGACCTATAATTGACGATGAATTACGAAATCGACAAAAAAAACAATGAGAAATTTTTTAAATACCTGGTTTTCCTTATTCCAGTACAGTCGGACAGTCGCGCTGGCTTGGTATTATCTATCAGGAGCAAGTCAGTGTTTAAATTACGATAGTGACGCTGGCTTCGCATGGAGTGTTTTACATTAAGCCAGTGCTGGCTTCAAGCACTACAGTCCTACTGTACTGGCACAATATAAACGAGGCATTCAAAAATTCAACATTGGCAAGGATTTAAAGACAAGAAAGAGTGCTTTTAGCTATTTTCTTTACATATAAACTCTGTCCAACATGCCACTGGTGTTGTTATAATTTTTTTTTATAAAGCTTGCTATAGAAAAGTAGAAAAAAATATCACTCTGTTTGTATTGACCTTTGTGTTATATATAATTTTATATACAAACATTTACACCTGCACTAGGCGAGTAAGGCCCACACTGTTTTCGTTACAACGGATATTTGTATACCATTATATTCGAGTGTAACCTGCAATAGAAAATAATATATTACTTTAATGTCATCTTCACAAAGAAAAAGCAAAAAAAAAACTTGCTATCTACATAATTACAAAATTAAATATAATTCCATAAACTTATAAGGTCCAGTAAGCAAAGCGGTGCTATTGATTAGTCATGTCAGTAAATATAAACAAAGTATAAGACACAAATAACAAAATGGCTATTAAATTATTCAAACTTTCCTTAGACAATAAACTTATATAAAAACGGCTAAAACACTCACACTGCCAGTTGCACCAAAGTACACCAATACAGTCCCACTCACCCTGTTGAAGCCCCCGTTGGGCTCGAAACTAGTCGGTGTCGCCACCGGACAAATATACGTCAGTGTTTTAGCCGTTTTTATATAGTTTGAATTGTGCTCACCAGGCCAGATAAATCTATCGTACTATAAAAAAAATTTTTTTTTTATTTTAATTGTGAAAAACATATAATAGCAATAAATACTAAATTATATGTACTACATAGTTCATTGGGTTATCTAATTAATATATCAAAACAAACTGTATAGAATAAAAACTTTTTTTTTTAATCTACTGTTTGTACTAAAAGATGGCATATTATGAATACTACTACACAGAAGTCCCCTTTTCAGTCCTTTGGCTTCTAAGAATTTGGTCTCTTAATTTTTATGCTTTGAAACTAGCTTAAACTATACAAAATTTTTCTTACAAAATTGTGTTTATTACATTTACAAATTAATCATCATAAAAATACGAGCTATGTTAGTTAATTTTATTTACAAAGTGCACAAAATAATATCAATTTAAATATTAGAAATTTCAAACACTAAAAATTCTACAAAGATGAACTACTGTGGATATAATAGGAAAGAACTACAGATAACACATATTTATATTTGAACACAAGTCATGCAAGAAATCGAACAATTCACAACAAAAAACGATTTACAAAGAATTATTATTTTTTAATTTAATTGAAATTTAAAATATGTTTAATTTAATTAATTTGAAATTGATTGCACTTTAATATTACTATTATAAATGCGAATATTTAGATGGATGGATGGATGTTTGTTTAAAGGTATCTCCAGAATTGCTCAACGGATCTCGATGAAATTTGGCATGAATGTAGACCATAGTCTAGAAGAACACATAGGCTACTGCTACCAATTATCTTTTATTCTTATTTTGCACGGACAGAGTCACGGGCGAAAGCTAATATGAAAATTTACATAGCCGATATATATATTGTGAATTGTTCAAAATGTCATACAAAGCTCACACATACAAAAATATATACATATATAATCAGAGACAGTAATAATCACCGCTCTCAGAAATTCATATCAAGGCCTATCTGATACATAACTTCGTCTGCTTCCGGTGCAAAGAGGACTCGTTGGTTTGTGCCATTACCATTTGTGGTAGTATTACTCCTGGAAGCTTCATTCGTCCTAGAACATTCTGCTTTGGGACTAGCTTCTTTATCTTCTGTGTCGGAGTGACTGTCTTCTGTATGTGATCTTCCGATGGTAGGTAGACCTAGTATGACTCGGATCTGGTCTGTTAAGTGAGGTGCGGATACTATTTGATGGTAAATGCCTTCCGCTGTGCTCAGAATTTTGTCTACATCCAACCTCATTGATAAGTCATTGACATGCTGAAAAAAATAATATTATTTCTTGCCAGTACTCTGTTTATTATTATGATTGGCCACTAAATTGTACAAATAAAAAAAAAATAGACATTAGCAGTCTAGTATCTATAACCGGATGTAAATAGGTATGAAAATATTTGATGCTTTTTAAATTAAATAAAAAAACTTACTTTTAAAACTTCAGTAAATCCATAATCCTTGCCTATTAAAATATCTTTCTCCGTGTCGAGTATGGCAACACATATAAATAGATGGAAATTAGCGCATGGCAACCCTGTCCAGAGCACTTCCCATAGCCTGTAAAATGAAAAAATTATTTTGTGTTAAAAAAATTAAAAGCGTTTAAAATTCATTATATCTTTACTTAATGTTAAACTAAATTGTTTTTTTTAATTATCAAAAATTTTAATATATAATATTCAACATTTGACATATATTTTTGTAACGAAAATGAAGCGAAAATTTTAGTTCACTGTTTTTTTTAACCTTAAAATATAATTATCACATGTATTTAGTAGTCTTTGAGATACATAATAAAACAGACCTCATAATATCCCTATGCGAGAATTCCCGTTTAAACCACACAAGTAGCCATCGGAAGCAGAAATACATGTTCCCTGAGTCCTTCTGTGCCAGATGCTGCGCTAGCTCGGGGCTGGCGAACGTCAGCAGCTGCTGGAGGTGCAGCAGCTGCTGCTTCATGCCCGCCTGGTCCATGTCAAAGTTAGGGGCCTGAAATTTTTTAAACTTATCACTTACAACTGTTCGCACTGGATATTTTTTTTTATATAAAGAGAGAAATATTTAGACTCACATGACTATAATACAGACAAATTAAAATTAATTTTATAGAGGAAAAAAGACCTCATGACCACAACACATGAGGTCATGAGGTCTTTTAAACCTCACATAAAATATAGGAATACAACCATGTGTTATATCGTACCTCACACATCTAAAGATCAAGGATGATTTGTTGTGGTGTGTAAATTGGTAGTAACACCTACCATTGTTCCTTAAGGTACATTTTTAGTGCAAAGATTCTATGAAAAGTAGAATAAGAATTAATTTCTACTTACAATTTTCTCCATGAAACCGGCAAAGCACCAAAAGCTATCCACTTCATTACCTAACAATAATAATAATGGCGCCAAAATATCGCTCATTCCTTGCACATAACCTAAATCAAAATTATACATGACATATGTCATTAATATATCTTGCAACACAATTAAATTTGGATTATTCTCTCCCGCATAAAATGGATGGGTCCGGTCCGTTCTATTCACATCTTTCTCAACTAAACTCTTCCTCTCTCTATACTCTGAGAACCTCGACTCTTGTCCTTCGGTCATTGACCTCCATTGCAACTTCATAGAGAAATATTCCTCCGTCTTACGTCTTTGTAGATTTTTTATCTCCGAATGGGTCATTGTCCATGGATAATAATCTAATAAATATTTCCAAACTGAAGGACGTATGGAATGTGCTACACCCTGGAAGCAATAGTATAGATTGTTAATAATCAATAATCTTATTAATATTATAAATGCGAATGTTTGGATGTATGGATGGATGTTTATTAGAAGGTATCTCCAGAACGGCTGCATGGATCTCGATGAAATTCGGCATAGATTTAGAACATACCCTAGGAGAATACTCTAATAATTACGTTATTACAGGCGACAGCAAGTAATTATAAAAAAAGGTGTACAAACCCCTCTAAATATAAGTTGTTTGACTCCCTCCACTTCTGTCACTCGACCATCAGTGTCCTGCAAGCCATCCCATTTCTCCGTTGATAATGGTGTGCCTCTGAAATAAAAATACAGGTCTTTATATTAACATATTGATGGATAGTTTTAAGAGTTCCAGAACATCCTGTATAGCTAAAGTAACTTAGCATTACAAATATAGATGACAATCTTACAATATACAGAATATTAATTAACCAATGGTTCACATTAGTGTTTGAAAATTTCAACAGAGGGAACCTCTTCGCCTAGACAAGTTATAAACAAGTAACTTCCAAGATTGCTCGGTGACTAGAATGCTACTTAGGGTCATTCAAGATTTGAGTGTTTCATCTCAAAGGCCGGCAACGCATCTGCTATTCTTCTGGTACTGCAAATTCTTGGTATTTCCATTGCTCCTTAGCCACCTTTTCTTATAAAAGGAACAATCAGCTTAGTTTTTTTCTGCTTTCTGTACTGCTTACTATATTATTTTCCGACTTACATTACTAGAAAAAAAATTAAGCTTAACAAGCGTACCTGGGTATACAAGGTCTTGGTGGTAAAGTGGGTTTCACACTGATGACTTCGTATTCATCACTCCTGGTGACCGCTGTACTATCCTCCATTGCACTCATGCTCTTTGTCAGCAGATCTGCTACTTCTTCTGACACATCCCTTTTGCCGTTCATAGCCTCATTACCGTAGTATACTGAAATTTGATACATAAATTTTAAAGTTAATGGAATACTAAATTATAAAAGATATGATAAGATAAGATACTAAATTATAAATTATATAAGTATGAATGTGCCATTCCATTGTATATAAAAAATGGTGGGTAAAAGTAAATAATAAGATGTTTTTTTCTTAATTCTATATATACTTTTCTATATATACTATGATCAATGGTAATCATGAATCGTGGCGTGGATAAGGTAAAATAAAATGCTAAAAATTATGTATAAGTTTTGGTTAACATTAACTATTATAATGATATTCAAATTTAAGCTACCATAATATGTATGTACCTACTCTATATGGTTTATGACATAAGTTCTAAGTCATATGCAACTAGGGTTATGTAGTATTCTAATATAAAACAATTTTACATAGCCTCAAATATTATAATGCTGTTTTCTATATAATCTCAGATAACACTCACCACTAGCACTTTCTGTACAGTGTTGCAATTAAACAAAAAATATTAATTACACAAGCCCCAATAAACAAAAAGGCCCACAAAAAACATCTTTCAATTTGCTATTTTATACAAAACCTATATGGATAAATGTCCTGGCAACTTAGTTTTTTTAAGAAATACTTCATATAATATGAAAAAATAAATAGTAAATTATATACATACCGATATCAGTGAGTTTTGAAAAAGCCTCCATGGTAGTTTCATAAGGTCTTTGTCTCAAATTTGATACCAAACTCCAAACAACATCGGTAGGATTCTCAGTAAAAATATCCAATTCCGCAAATGACTTATTCAAAACTTGAGTTTCTCTGTTTGGTTCCACAACTATGTATGTATTTTTATCATTTCTTGCTTTTGCTGTTTTGACGTGATTCTTTAGGTATGCTACAAAGATTTCTGCGTTCCCATGTTGGAAATAAAAGGACATCTGCCAAACGCCAGGTTTTGTTGAGAATTGCATCTGCTGATTGTTTCTAGAGACACGGAATGTTTTTAATTCGCTCAACGGTATCTTTATTATTCGAGCTCGGAGTGTTGCATAATCTGATGTCATATTTCCACTTAAAGTTCGTTGACGACGACCTGATATATAAGACATGCATTTTTTTAAACATCAAAGCAAAAATTCTTACTGAGTTAACAAAATTAATATTCTAATTGGAACAATCATATTGTTTAAAAAAAAAGAATACAACCGAAAATTTAATTGCTTAAAAATATTAAGAAGTTTTTGTACATCTTACTAATATTATAAAATTTAGATGTATGAATGAATAGATGTTTCTTAGAAGGTATTTCCAAATCGGCACAACCAATCTCAACAAAATTTAGTATGGATAAAGTCTAAAAGAATAGACAGGCATGGGGTGGAAAATATAGGCTATATTTATTATTAGATTTTTTATTTCCATCCAAAGTCATGGGCAACTACTATATTAATATAAATTAAGTATTTGTTATATAATTTTTTTTTCTTACCAATAGTGTTAACAACTGCCCACTCCTGATCCTGCGTGTCCGAGTCAATTGTGATCAAATCATTCGGTCTCCATTCTACGCATTTAGTACTATCAGCATTCTGAACAATACAGAGCATGCCAATAGAGTTCAGCTCATTAATTGAACGACCAATACATGACTTAAGCAATACTCCATCCTGGGTAAATAGATCCTGGAAATTAAATAAATATGAGAAGAGAAACCTTTTGTACACCTTTTGAAGGTAATAGTGAGAAACAATGTACTTGATATTTGACACAGTTATATTGTGGAGAAATCTTTAAAGGTATATTCAACAAAAAAAAACCTTCAATTATGAATTACACTTTAACTAAGTTAATAATGAATTAACTGGCTTTTAACACAATGAACAAAGAGGGTATTACAAAATATTTATTTTCTTCTTGATGGGGTAATTTAAAATTATATTTTAGCAACTATTCTGGCTGAAGATAAGTATAGTATACATGCTACAAAATTATAATGTAAATTTATAAATAGTTATTTTCAAAAGTTAGAAAGATGACGAATGGTAAACAAATAAACCACAATACTAACACGATGTGACGCAGTTTCCAAGTTATGAAAAATATTCCTAATTAAAGTTCATATCGATCTACCGCCGATAAACTACAAGGTCAGAATTATGTGGCAAAACTACACAATAATTCTATTGAGGAAGAAGTCACTTACTTTACACTGCTCAGGAATATCTTCAGCGGAACTCGAAGACATTTTGTTTACAACACATGTAATGAAGAAAACATAAATGAAAAACTCATGTAGTTCGCTAAATCACTTATTGCCAATTTAAATTCATATTTTATATTATTATTTTTGTGAATGGTAAACAATGGAGCACAGTTAAAAGGAAAAGGAAAAGAGTAAAAAATCTATTGGAATTAAATCGCAATATCGCAGACAGACTGCTAAGGTTGCTATATTCAGTTACGAATTTTAATTACCAAGAAATTATTAGCGCCTTATGTATTTGTTTCTAGATTATTGTTTAATACGTTGGATACAGATTTTTTTAAAACAAATAATGCTTTTTTTAGATTCCAAGAACTGAATAATTAATAAAACTTTTATTCGCTGTGTCAAATAAATGACAACATCAGAAAAGTAAAACACGTCAACGTCAAGCAGAAATTGTCAACGTCAACGTCATTCAAATGTCAAGTTTGTTGGCATTTGGGTCAGTGGACGCCGTTTATGTATTTATTTTTGTTTAAATCCAGTTACTTAAAAACAAAACATAAAATTGTCTCGCTGGAATACGACAATTAATCCAAACCGTTGTTGAACACAACTACCCTACTCACTAATTTAAAATGACGAATCTTGACGTAAGTGTTGATTTTTCAGTATCATTTGATTATTTCCTTAAAAAAAGTGTTTCATGATCCAAGAGTATTTTTGTGGTGCATAATAACAAACATATGTAAAATATATATTTCACAAATGAGGCCAATTGTCAATAATCCATGAATCTGAATACTTAAAAATTGTACAAATAAACTTGAATACATTACTTCCACCCTCTTACTTATAATAACTCACTCACCAACTTATTTACAATAACTGCACACTGCTTATTATCGTTTTTGTAAAATACTAACGAAACATTTGTGATTAGTTTTGTGTTGTTGCTATGGACCATAACCTAAAAAAGATTTATATTTTGGAATATATACAACTGTGTATAGGTATAGTAAGATGAAAAATATGTAAACAATAAGTAAATGTTAATCACCAGTTTGCAATATTTAATTAAAGCATGACAATTTCTCTATTTGATTTCAGCCAGAACGAGCAAGTTTAGGTTAGCTCATAGAAATTTTAGGTCTAAAGTCTATGCAAATAATGTTTTATTGCAGATAAATGTAACAAGAATCCCACAAATCTACTTTTTATTTTAAATATTAAACCACTCTATATTGACTTTTCCAGGTCAGTAACAGTAGCACGGATAGTAGCTCTGGATCCACCTCGGATTCCAGCAGCAGTGGGAGCTCTTCAACAAGCTCAGGGTCAGGTTCCAGTAGTTCTGACTCAGACTCCTCAACTTCTGAGACTCCAGCGGCAACTGCAGCAACAGTACCACCTAAATCACCTATGAAGCCAGCTGAAGAGGCCAAAAAGAAAGAAGAACAGAAACCAAGACGAGCATCTAAGACGAAGACTTCATCAAGCGAAGAAGAAGTACCTAAAATACCAAGTCCAAAAGCCGCCCCACCAAGACGTAGGGCTTCAGCCAAACCTAAAGCAGCAGCTGCTGTTCTTGCAAAAGCAAAACCAGCCCCTCGTACCACAACAGGTGCCAAAGCGAAAGCCATTTCGAAAACTATACCCAAATCTCAAATAAAATCTGATAATGCTTTGAAAAAGAAAAGCATATTTTCCCCAGACAATAGTTCAGAATCCGAATCTGAGAACAAAGACAAATTGAAAGCAAGTGCAAAAGAGTCCCCAAATAATAAAAAGGTAACAAGAAAGTCGAGCGATGAGAAGGAAACACCAGCCACACAACCTGTGGTCCCTGCCACCGAAGATACCACTGTAAAAGAGAATGCTAAACGTAGAAGTAGTAGAAATAGCGGTCCACCAGCAAAGAAAGCGGTTGAAGATAAAAGCGCGTCATCTTGTTCATCCAGTCAATCATCCATTGAATCTGTGTCTTCAGAGAGTGATAGTGAACCAACATCCAAGAAAGATAATGCAAAAGCAATTAAAACGAAACCTGCTACTGCAACTAGTAAGGTAAGAAAATATAACCTTATATTCAGTTTTGTAGAAGATATTGATTTTTAAGAAAGGAAGATAAAACAATAATTGATAATTGGAGTTAACTAGCGGCTATTAAGCACTGGACAAACTGCCTTTACTTAGGGCGCTGTTTAGTCATTCAGTTACTTTCAGCCAGTTAATCGTTGATAACGGTGTGGCCGCTTGGTCATTGGGTCCTTGCTTAAGGTTCATTTAGACATAAGCTCGAACCTTAAAAACATCCCTTGGCAGTTGCTTCAGAGTGAGACAAACATATGGAAACACAATTAGTTTTTCTCGCTCTAAAGTGTTGTTGTCCTTGTCTGAGCGTTGTTCATACTTCAAGATCATCAGGTCAGAGACGGATGTGTGCGACCGTAAGAAATGTTCAGTTATTTTGAATAACATAATTTATTCCAGCAACAAGACGTAGCTACCAAAGGCTGTGAGGCTGGTGAATCTGCGGCTCTTGGCGCGGTGCCTCGCAAGTTGACCAGGTCGTTCTCAGCGCGCGCAAACAGAATGGCCACTGCTGTGAGACCTGTTCACACTGATACTGATTCAGATGGAGATGATAAGAATGATAAAAAGTAAGTACTATTAATCTTACCAATATTGTAAATGTGAATGTTTAGATGGATGGATGTTTATATATACCTAGAATGGTTCATCGGTTCACATTGAAATGTGGCATACATATAGAACAGGCTGGAAGAACACATAGGACACTCATTAATTTAGTTTTTTTTATTACACGCGGACAGAGTCGCGGGCGACAGCTAGTAATATTATAAATCGGAGAGTTTTGATGGAAGATTGTTAGAAGGTGTCTTCTAACAAACTTCCATCTTGATGAAATTTAACACAGATGTAGACCATAGGCACACTTTGTTTTTTTTTTTTAATTTGAAGTTTAATAATTTACGTAATTAAAAACTCTTACACCATGCTAACTGGAATCATGAGGTTACTATGAATTGAGCTTAAATATGTAATTACTTTTTATTTTAGAGGTTAAACCTTATTTGGAAAATATACATATATTTTGTAACTGGCTGCCGAGACCATTGACTGTTGGGATTAACTCATAACTATACTAACATTATGAGGCTTTCATGATTTTCTTTATTTTAACAGCCGAGACCTAAAAAAGAACCTAAAAGGTCGTCCCCCAGCTATACCACGTTCCCCAGTGGTAGCGGACACAGCCCCCATCATGCCTTCAGAGCGATGTTGTCCTGTCCGAGGCTGCGACTCCACAGGACATTTGGGTAAGGTTGTATACATATGTAGCTAGAAT